GAAGGACCATAATCTTTTATCAGAACATGGAACTATTCATTTTTTATGCATATTCGGGCCTTTTAATATTTTTTTTGTTTTTTTTTTATGTAAAAAACTTTACATAATAAATATATTATACTTTAAATGAACACGCATGAACCTATTACAAAAATTGGCACTTTGAATTGATGATTAAAACGCCCGGTTTTATGAAGCTAAATAAATTAGAAAGCTTTTTACAAATAATACAAGAGGTGCTGTGTAAAAAACATGCTTTACCATTGCAAAAAAAAACATGAACTGGCATACGTCTGTCGTTGAAACAACATTTAAGTTTGTCATGTTGACAAAGAGTTATCTGGTTTCACATGTTTTATCTTGGAAAAAAATAGTAAAATATATGACTAACTTAAAATAGGTACGCGATCGGTGCACGTGCATAGCTTAGAAAATTGATGACGTATTGGTCATAGCAGAGTTTCGAGAGCAGTAACGGATAAAAATGTACGAGTAAGTTTTTAAAGTTTTTAAAGACTGCAGCAAAACTATACTATTACTTAAACGGATAGCTGATCTGCTGGCACAAAAGAGAAAGCTGCAATATGGCATCACGCTAGCGTGGATGCGTTGTAAACTGTCTTTCGCACTGTTAGGTCAGCAATTACCGCGATACGAGGAAGTCGATCTGCCTCAACTCGCGAACACACTTTAAATATTGACCTATATATTACTCTAAAAACATCCTGGTTAAAAAATCCTGGTTGAACGAATTTCAATCCCAAATATGTTAACTCAGATTTTGGTTAAAATCCTGGTTAATTTTAGTTCAACACTGAACTACCAGGATCCAGGTTAAGAAAAATCCCAAATGGCGGCTCACTAATTTTCGGGACGAAATAATCAAAATTGTTTATAATTTGCGCCATTAATGCTTTTACAGAAAGAAAAAAAATAAAACAAACTTTTTCGGGTGCCGATATACATATTTAGAAAATTTGAGAAGATGCCAATCGTTGGAAAACGCTATTTAAATGCTGTCATTTGTTTAAGGAGTGGGGAAAACAACTAGTATATTGCATGCAGCTCATGACAACCTCCGAGTGATAAAAGCGAAGCACTAGTCTGGACAAACACCATTGATCTTAAATAATTAGTTGAGAATACGTACGTTTCTTTTGATCGTTTCATCATAGCAAACGAAACAACCCTGTGCGAATTCCGGGGTTGCACCGCCATCTGCGATAAATAATGAAGAAAACCCTGTCGTCTGAGACTGAGAGCAACTGCTTTGTTAAGCTTTTATGAAATGGGGAAAGAAAAATGGCTGATCGAGAAGTACGAGAACCGCTCGACACTTTGAACTTAGGCAATAAATGTTCAGTGAAAAAGTCATATTTTCATCTAATAAAGATTTAGATCAAAACCAGTGATGAGAATTCTAAAGTACAAGTATGTTTCCATCAGAGTTAATAACATTAGTAGCTGCATTCATCAACGATACAGCTTTGTTGGTGTTGAAATTTAAAAGTTAGCAAACAACCATGTGTTAGCTACAATATTTAAAAATAATCAGTGTAATTCTAATCAGTGTATTTCCGAACAATTATGATTGTTGTAAGTGTTTTAAGTTATTGCACCAAATACCAGTTGCAATCTCCTCAAGCACTCCATTTTGTACCTGACAGTTATAAATTTACTCATGGAAATCTAAACTACAATTTTGGAATGATTGACCCTCTGAAAAATTGACAATTTTGGGAGACTTGTCACGCAGCAAGAGCTAAATAATCGTTTCGAGTCTATGCTAAAGCCTTTATAAACTGTGATGGCAGACCTAAAAGATTTGTCGTCAAACTAACATTACCCATAAGAGCCTGGTCTTGATAGAGGTCTGAGAAGCTAAGAGAAGAACAGTTAAATAGACAGACACTTGACTATAAAACACAATAATATATTAAATATAGTTTCACAAAATATAATTTCATCTCAATTCTAAAGTACACTGTCTTCATGGTAAGTAGTGTTTGTCTTAATACTAGGTACAATCTCCAAAAGCACAACACTTTGTCTCGAGCTATAAATATTCATGACAATTTATATGAGTTTTGAAATGCACGACAACTTTAATAATTTACTATCTTTGTAGACAAGTCACACAGGAAGAGCTGAATGATAGAGTCACACTACATGCTTGATAAAGTATAAACTGTGATTACAGTAAGGGCAACAGAGGATTGATAACTGGGATGCCAAAATTCATATATTTTTGTTATGTAATCTCTAATGGCAATTGATTTCAATAGAAACTAACACAGTAAAACAGGCATTTATAAATATTTGTTCCATCTTACTAGTTATTATCAATCCTCGGCCACCCTTGTATTCGAGACTTGTGAGGTACTTGGCCTGAAACTAGCTTCACCAGGCATCAGAACCTGATCATTATAAAGATCAGTGAAGCTAGTAGAACAGTTAACTACAAACATTGAAATTTAGGAAAACAGCCTTCTGAATTAAATATACTTTCAACTCATACAATAAAGAATTTCCATGATTATAACTGATTATAACACCGTCAATTATTATCTTCAAACACTTTGTACTGACAAAAAGCAGCTTAGCTTATTCAAAGAATGCCATTTGGTCCACGAAATTCAGTTGATGAGAAAATTATTGCCTGACTGTCGCCACAAATCAAAATACGACATTGTTTACATCATCGATTGTCACCAACCATTTCACAGTATTATAGACTTGAATATAACTGTAATACCAAAATCTTCTCTGGAAGAATATGAAAAGCCAGAAGCTTCGAATTACAAGCAGGTAAATACAAAGTTACACATAGTAATACCACGAACGACAATAATCAACCGAACGATAATCGACGATCATGCTCAATGAATAGTCACGTGACACTAGCGAGCACCCTACGGTATTTGACGATAGGTAACGATTGTCAAATTTCGATTTGCAGTTTTCCGCCTTTTACTCTTTCTCGTGTGAACTGTACCAACAAGTGCTACTACAAAGTTTCAGCCGCATCAAAAAAGATTATGGACAATTGGGTTAGAGAAAACTTGAAGAGTGGAATCTTTCCTGCTTGAAAGATGTTTTGAAGGTAAATAAATGCAGTGTCTATATTATTTAGTACTTAGCTTTAGCTGTATTCTTTTGTTTTTTAGCTTTTTGTTCTTGAAACGGATGTTTTTCGAATTGCATTTTTTTAGAAAATATGGTTGACGAGGAGGCCTTTCTCATTTTAAACGAAGAAACTTGAAGGAGATGAGGATTCCTATTGGACCACGAATCAAACTATTGAAAAAAATCAAATTTCAGGTATACCAATGCTATCTTAATTCTGAATTTGGACAGTTGAATCGGTACACGAAAAGCCTACCTAGCAACGCCATAGCAACCGTAATTTCAAAGAGAGAACAAACATCTAAAAGCAGTTTTTTATAGTTTCATTCACATATTGTTGTTTCAATGCCGATTTTCAAAGTGTTGATAAGTTTGTACGTACAAAGAAACATGAGATATTATTGGCTTTAGGTGTTTTTACCACCTTTTACGAGATTCAAAACTACAAATTGCCTTGAGTAACATAATTTGAACAGTTAACAAACATAGTTTAAACTCAAACCAACTCAATATTTTTTTTCTTTGCCCGATAACATTACGACGAAAACTTTAAACAATCGTACGCCAAAATTCTCGAAATGACATCAGTGAAGGTATATATGACTGATGACAACCAACAAATTTAATATCAATAAACAAAAAGAAAGCACCAGGGACATAAAAATGAAAAAAACTCGCAAGCTTTAGACAAAAATAGGCTAATTATCACAAAAACATAAATAAAAGTTTCAGAGTTAAGGCTCATTAACAAATGTACCGAATAGTTTTTATAACTCAGTTTTTTGCAAGGCGGAATTAAGAACAAAAAAGTATTTTGTGTACAGCTGTGAATATACCATGTTACAAGCAGAGAAAAGACAGTTGCTGGATTACATGGCTACTAACTATGATGACTCAAAGAAATATTTTCCAATAATAAAAAAGTCCATCACTGTTATCTTCTACAAATATGTGTGACTTATGTCTGTACAAACACATTTCTTTAGCTGCTGTTATAAAGAGAAACAAAACGACCTTTTTCTTTGTTACCCTCAACTACACTTTTCAGAGTGCATTTACACATTTTCACTGTACAATTACACTTATTAAAATTAAACACTAAATTACATTGAACAATATAAACATTCTATTGATGCTATTTATTTTATCCAATATAGGCATCTTCAAGTCCCGAGTTCACTTGTCAGCCAAACGAAAACGAGGCAAAGCGTTCAGTAGCAGCAAATCAGTCTATATTTGAGAGCTTTGGGGGCTCAAACTTTTTAATCGAGAAAGAAACCCAGGAATGATTTTGTAAGCATTAACACGTGTAGAGCAATTAAACATCAAACACACTTTTTTATCTTTTTCTTTTTTAAAGAATATCAAATCGATTTTAGAAGAGTCCGAAGTTGGTGTTCAAGTGATTTGCGAACTGGATACGGATAAATTTAGCAGAAAAAGCAGAATCAAGATGGTTCAGATTACATAATTATTCAGTTTGGAGAAAGGTTTGTGAAAATATGAAAGACTAAATTCACCACTTCTACTGCAAAATGTAAGTCTACCTATGATGTCATCGTAACAGTAAAAAATCGTAAAAATAGAAAATCAAAGAGTTGTACAAATTAACACAATAGTAAAATGAGATTTTAGCAATGAAGCATCGTGTTCGAAAAAAAGGTAAATGTTTATACTTTTTAGAAAAAGGTAAATTTTTTAGAGGAAGTAAGCAAAATGTTTCTATGAAATTATCATAATGTGAGATTGAAAATCCGAAATTTGACATTGCTTACATTTACAATGACGTCATAAGTACACATGAACGCTACCGTAAAAGTTCTGAATTGTTCAACATCCAAGTTAAAATTTTAATAATTCTAAAATACAGGCCTCGTGCAGACATCAAAATCCAAATGGCAAAGGCAGTGGTAGAGCAGTTTCCTTTCCTTAAAGACGAAGAGGGTCAAGGATATGTACGTGTTTCTCATTACGTTTAACTTTTGATTTGGAATCAAATGATTTATTTTACAAATGTTTGTTTCTTTCTTGTACGTGATCACTTTTTCAATTTTTAGGAAGCTTGGTACACGCCAGGAAAGGGAATTCATTCTGCTACAGGGTGGTTGGAAGAACGGCTTAGAAATGTTAGGAGAAAGAGCATAAAACACCGTCAGACTGAACAAGACTTTGGCTCAACTTCAACTTCTCTAAAACACTTGACAAGATCTCTACCAGGTTAAATTCATCAATTAAATAGATATTAGAAGTTATTTGATGGTGCTTGTAGAAAATTTGCTTTTTTTTCTTAAAAAGAGCCAGTCTTAAATGAATCTGACCATGCTGGAATGAAGCAGGGGATGAAAGACAACTGGGAGCCTATCTCAACCCTAAAAAGTTATATGCAGAAGACCGTCTTAAATCGATCAGAATGGATTAGAAAAACGCCACAACTTACAATACGAGAGGTTATGAAAGAATACCCTCGTCTTCTTGATGTCCCTGGCACGGTAAAGAAAATTCTTAGACGTTCTTTCGTTATACATCATCTTGTACGGCTAACCAAATGTTTTCAAAATTTATTCAGGTTGAAATAGACTATGCAACATTGTATCCAGATGTCGCAGATAATCTTTTCCGCGATTTACACAAGAAACAGTGGAGAAAATAATTTGTTACGCAGATACACAAACAAAAAAAATGGACAAAATACTTGAATATTGCAACAAGAAACCTGAATTCCGGTAAAAATTGCAAAAATGGTTACATGATGCATGAAACATATGCGATACATGAAATACTTTCTTCATCTAAACTCCAAAAACACTGACTTTTATTTATAAACTACTTTATAGATGAAGAGAAAAGAAATGCTGCGATCGGTCTCCTTCCATGCGTTTTTCCTACTGGAAGAAAGAATAAAAAGAGGTGTACAACTGATGAAGCATTATGTGCTTTTATCGATTGCCAACCGTTATCCATTAAAAATCTTTTCATAACTTATTCACAGTACCTAATAATACAAATTTCTCAAAAAAGCACGGGCGTCAATCCATTTTTAATTGAAGGGGACCATATTCTTATATTCTGTCATGCCAGCCTGATTTCTTTTGCAAGGGAAATTGTTTTGAAAAGAAATTAGACTGGTGTATGAGTATATGAATATGTTTGTCCCCCCGCATTAAAGCAAGATTGCTGCCATTGCAAAAAAAAGACATAACAAAACCATGCATTATTGATTTTTGGCACTTTATAGCATTGTCTCGTGCTGTTGTCAGTAAAATGTTTGAAAATATGAGCATTTTTTTCCCTGAGAAAGTTTTCCTTAAGTCCTATGAAACAGTGACAAAATCAATTATTTACAAAAGACGAAAGTCAATATATGCATGGACTGTTTTGCACAAAATGCTAGATCATCACCATTGTCAAAAATTTCGGTACCAGCCCTGCTAGAGAACAATAAAGTAGCAAAATCACTAAAAATTTGGCTTAGTTTTTTATTTTATTTTTCTGATCATTTCTTCCAACAGTAGCTATATATTGACACTTTTAGATACACCATATAAGTAGACGCATAATCAAACTCGTGTATTTGATGTAAAGTCTCAAGTCCACTGTTTAATTATTTTTAGGTCGGTACAAACATAACTAAATATTTAGAAACAGCCTCAAGATGGCCGTTTGTTTTAGCAATTGGTAGTCAATGCAACCCAACGCAAGTGTTCGTTATAATCGAAAGCCAGGGCTTGGAGCAGCCTAATCTTGTGAGGGCAATTGATGTTTGCTTTAAACTATTTTACGTACTTGATGTTAATTACTCATGGCAGAGCTGTTCGTCGTGGGAGTTTATACAAAAGGTTTTGTATGGCATTGAGGACCATAGAAAACAGAAGACTACACCTGCTGTTGTTGCAATGAGAGCAGCATTAAAGTAATCAGACCATTGACGCTAAAAATATATTGATATAAATCTAAACTTCTCCAGCTATTGCATGTACCTGTTGTTAATACACATGATACTTGTCTATCTTCTGTTTGTAGTTTTTACTAAATGTGAGTTGTGTCTGTGCAATGTTTTTTTTAAATAAATGTACTTTTTGAGCATAAATATACTCTCTCAATGAATCACTAAGAATCGCACAGGAATTTAACAAGGCAACTAGTTAATTTTAACTGGGACAAGAGTCAAAATTTTAACATTAGGTCGTGGTTGAATTCAACCAGAATAAGGGTTAATTAATTTAACCCAGATTCCTTGTTAAAATAACCAGGATTGCGTTGGTCCCATTTGGAATACTTTCCTGGTTAAGATTTAACCCCATCCTGGTTATTTTAACCAGGATGTTTTAGAGTATAGGTTATTGGGAAAGTTGTCTTTACACCTGACTGTCCCTTTTTTCTTTCTTTTCTTTTCAAGCTAGTAGTTTGAAAAATATCATGGATATTTTAAACATTGTTATTATACTATTACTTAATAATAATATACTTTTAAATATTTGACGATACATTCTAATTCGGTCTCATTTCATTGCTCTCTATTCTTGACTTGCAATTCAGCTATGTTGGTGATGTGATACAAAACAATATTTTATCAGTGTTTTTGTTTGCACCAGCCGACGTGAACGAGCAACATTGTTTGGTAGATCTCAAGAGAATGGTTTCAAACCATGAATGGCTCAGAAAAGCCTCGTTACGGGTCTAACAGTTCACCCAAAAACAGTGCTTGCTATTTTGTTTTTAATCTTTGCTTTCTTTTAAATTCTTGAATTTCAAGCGATTGCAACTGCAGAAATATGTTTTACTTACAACTGCCGAAGAATTTTTTCGCATGATTCAGCCGTAATTAAGTGATCTTCTTTGAGGATTTAATGTTAAGGAATTTTCAATTTGCAGTGGCCTCAGCGACATAAGGATAAAGACAAAAAAGACAAAAGACTTTCTTTTATTTCCTCCAATCTCTTGAGAATATGCTTTGCTTTGTTTTATCGTTTGTGCTTATGTCAATAGTGAAAACTAGGCTTTAGTGTATTCAATTGCATTTACGGCTCTTTTGGGATAAATTACTGCAGAATCATACCAATTCTAAATGCCGGCTGGTTTCAAAGCTTAGCAGCTTTTTAGAGATACCCTGTATAGTAAGTAAAATAACATACTTTCGGGACAATAGATGTGAGCAACCAATATCTGCATAGCCAACATGCAGATTCACTCCTGCTTTAGAAGAGTTAAATTGTATTACGTCTTTTTGCATGCAGATTTAACCCAAGAGAGGTTAAGCATTGTTGTTGTTGTTGTCTAAAAGCACTCGAGAAAAACAGCCTTCCAAACACAAACAATCTAATTCATTTATATATGTAAATTCTAAAAGATTCTATTATCATTTTGTTAGAAATCTATCGTTCTCATGGTCAGTAAACACGAAAATATTTGCATAGCGAGTGTAAAAACTATAAAAGTCTAGTTGAGTACGCTACCAGCCATCAAAGTAGTCAGTGGTTAAAATAAATATCACAAAGTCTTCCTTGCTCCCGAGAACTCCTAAAGAAGACGACTTCAGGGTAGATCAATGAGCTTTCGAATTACTTATATTGGGCAACAGGAGATTGAAATTTCCACCGTAAACATTGACGACATACTCGAAGATGCATACTCAAAATATAAGAAAGATGTTGAGATTGCTGACTTTCTAGCAATTGTTGGTTATGATGATCTCCATTTTCGCAATCTCGTAAATTATGATATCGATATTGCCATACCTCTGGCAAGCATCCAATCAGTTTGCGATACATACAAGCATGTAAAATATCCACAGGCTGTAATTGTCGTGTGTACTTCGCCAACCGAAAACTCAGCTATTGCTCACGTACTACACTGTGAAAGTAAAATTGGTGCAATAGAACTTTCCTGTGATATTGCTCGTGGGACGAAAGGTGCAAAAGAAAAAGAAGTGGATGAGGCGAAGCCACTACTTCAAGGAAAATCCACTGCAAAATCCTGTCCACCTGAAGATACTAAATGCTTATTAGATAGAGGTGACTCAGAAGATATCTCGGAGGATGAGTCTTCGAGCTCGGCAAATAAACAGTCATGTAGCAAAATTAAATGGACATTTAAACGGAAAACTAAATAAATGGGCATTTAAACGGAAAACTTCTTGAGTACTAACTCTTTATTTTTCTAATTTATAATAAATATGATTTAGCATGTTGAATGTACAATTCCACCACTACTTTACAAAGTACATTCCAATACTACAAAGTATATAGGTTATAATTTGCTGTTTGTAAGAGTAACATGAATTAATGAGAAGTGAAGGACCATAATCTCTAATCAGGGCATGTAATTTTTCATTTTTGTTGCACTCTCGTGCGCCCCCTCTAATATCTATTTTTTTGTGTGTACAATAAATTTGTTATATTTTCATAGTAATCCATAATCTTTTGCTAGTTTTCAATTATGAGTTGATGATTTAAATGCCAAGCGTATCAAGCAGGGAGCTCGAAAGCTTTTATCAGGTTGTGTAGCAACCAAGGTTAATATCGGAGGAATAAGCTGGGATCTGGGACTGAATTACGTAAGAAGGTATGTAAGTGACCGTGTGTAAATGAGCTGGTCATTTTTCGATGCATTCGTTAGTAGGAGCTTCTGCATTTTTTCCCATCCATATGTCTTCTAACATTTCCATGGAAATGTATTCGATGTGGTATGGTGCAAGGATGTGGTAGTCAGGTCGAGAATGTGAGTTACTCTATTCAAACGATGGCACTTGCTTTAGTCTTTTTGTAAAACAGCATCTTAGAGTTGTTGTGTTGACAGTAGAGTTATCTGATTTCATAATAAGGCAGTGAAGTGTCTAGAAAATGAGTTTCGTAGTCGCAACTGAAAATGATTCTGTGTTCATATTATAAGTAAATGTGTAAACTTTAATAGTAATAAAATTTGTTGCCTAGTGATTGACACAAACAAAGTAAAGGACTTTAATGAAAGATGACATCATCTTAAGGTTTGAGTCAATAGATTTTAATAAAAAATGACATCATCAAAAGGCTTGAGTTAAAGGACTTTAATGAAAGATGACATCATCTTAAGGTTCGAGAGACAAAATTTTTACAATTTCTCAAAAACAGCGTAATAATGTACAATACAGAGATAAACTATATAATCTCAATCACCTTCGGTAAACTCGGTATGTTGCTATCAAGGAAAAAATAAATAAATGTAAAGTGCTGAATCAGCACTACTTTTCATTCCATCTGACTGCCTTTACTAAGAGCAAGGGAATTATTAAAATTTTTCGTGCATTTCAAAAGCCATGAACATTAATTTTACTGTACGTTTATGGCAAAGATACGCTTTCAGAGAAGGCAACAGATCAATAATTGGGGGGGGGAGTAATATTTATACATGCCTGTTCTACTTTATTGGTCTTTATTGAAATCAATTCTGACAAAGGGTTGTAAGCAATTAATAATTGAATCTGTGTCATAAGTGAATCATTGCTGAGGGGTAAATATTCATATATAAATTATTTCCGTAATTTGCTGGAAGTTATTTGCTACAAGAAAAATGTGATTTTTAATGGCTGCAAACTAAATAAGCACAAACATTACCATTACTGAAGTAAATTTAATGTGTCAAAACATAATACTTTAAACAGAATATTGTAATGCT